TGTTGTCACACCCCCGCCGGGAATCGAACCCGGGACCTTTGGCTTTACGCACCAATGTTCTGACCACTAAACTACGAGAGGTGACAACAACAACCACGACCAACCGACCTACAAGGTTAACGATCCGTCGAACTAATGTAACTATATACTGAATATACTATGATTAAACATACATATAATTTAGATATCTTTTAGAAGTGAGTTAGTTTAATATGAAATATTATTCTGAAAATTCATTTCTGAATTTTTTACCCACTACACGCTACCTCAAATTAATGAGGGAAAAATTGTTGCTGTTGTCACACCCCCGCCGGGAATCGAACCCGGGGCCTTTGGCTTTACGCACCAATGTTCTACTACTATACTGGTCGTGGTTGCTGTTGTCACCTTTCGTAGTCTAGTGGTAGAACATTGGTGCGTAAAGCCAAAGGTCCCGGGTTCGATTCCCGGCGGGGGTGTGACAACAGCTACAATTTTTCCCTCATTAATTTGAGGTAGTTTGTAGTGGGTAAATAAAAAATCGAAAAAATGATTTCAAATTAATATTGCATATTAATCCACTATTAAGTAACTAACAATGTCATAGGATTTCAGGTTTTATGTAGTTGTTATGTTATAACCCTACAAGGGATGTCGACCTTCGTGGATATAATGCATCATTAGTTACATTTTGAAATGTAAAAACATTGTTGTTATATTAGATACTCAACATCAAGTAAGCAAGTTTACAAAAATTTACTTACTCCAGAAAAAATAGATTATTCTATATTGAAAACTTTGTATCACTGGAAGGTGCTTTTAATTTCGAATCGAATGGTACCATATTAAATGGTATTTCCCATTAAAAAACGATTGTCAAAAGTATTTTTCGAAATTTACAGCTCTGAAAGACATACACATTAGCTATTATGGCTTAGATGCTATTTGGTCTCATTCAAACAGCTGTAATTTTCGATAGCAATTGAATATCTCAAATACTATTACAGATAGGTATAGGAAACTGTTAACAAAATCGACCTAAATTTAAACAAAGAAACTAAAAATGTAAAAATATACCGGATTTTCTATTTGAAATAACAAAGGTAGGTAGTGTCCAGAAGAAATAGAACACCCTGTATGTCTGAATATTTTTGTGTTTATGCACCATATGATTCCAAACCACTTTTATAAAAACATTTTTTTTATTAAATGTATAATAACAGAGTTATAGACGAAACCGCCTTAGGTGGAACACCCTGTGTATATACGTTTTTCAAGAACTCGTCGTTTGCCGCCTCCCCAAGACAAGTCCTGAAAACATTCCCCTTGTTGCATAAAAAGTGGTTTATTACATATTGTACACACTTAATGGGTCATTTTAGGAACTAAAAGATTTATGTTCATTATCATAATCAATAATGCAGATATTTAACTTAAAACCGCAACCGTTCATTTATTCTATGACATGTTTATTTTTCGCTAAGTATCTTTATTTTAACTATCGGTGCTAAATTATTTAATTTATGAATAAATTAGTACTTACATAAGAGTGCAGTTAACTTCGTTACATTATTAAGTACTTGACTTATGGAATACAGGCCTTTGGCCATAGTAATAAAATACAGCCGCGAAATAAAATATATTTTCTTATAATCTGCTAGAATAATCAAAATCAGAACTTACTAGGAGGTTATTAATCTATTTTTTCAATTTATGAAACCCAATACAGTTCAATGTAATTCATATACTGTCTATATTTTTTTAAATAACATGAAGGATTAATTCGCTGCTCCGGTGAGGCTCATTTCTGACTCATTCTAAAAGCATAGCATTAGCTATTTTACTATTGTTTTCAAGTTATATAACGCAATACAGTTCAAAGTTATCCATATACAATCTATATTTTTCCAAATAACTTGAAGAATTAATTCGTTGCTCCGGTGAGGTTCATTCCTGACTCATTCTAAAAGCATAGTAGTAACAATTTCACAATTGTTTTCAACTTATAAGGCGCAACGGTGGGTGGGATTGAAAGAGGAGGTCTCCCCACCCACTGTATCATAAAAAGTTCGTGGCGGTCTCACCCCCATCAAAAGTTATCGGGGTTCAAATGNGCTCCGATGAGGTTCATCTCTGACTCATTATAAAAGCATAGTGGTAGCTTTTTCACAATTGTTTTCAACTTATAAGGCGCAATACAGTTCACAATTATCCATATACAGTCTATATTTCTCTGAATAACTTGAAGAATTAATTCGTTGCTCCGATGAGGTTCATCTCTGACTCATTATAAAAGCATAGTGGTAGCTTTTTCACAATTGTTTTCAACTTATAAGGCGCAATACAGTTCACAATTATCCATATACAGTCTATATTTCTCTGAATAACTTGAAGAATTAATTCGTTGCTCCGATGAGGTTCATCTCTGACTCATTATAAAAGCATAGTGGTAGCTTTTTCACAATTGTTTTCAACTTATAAGGCGCAATACAGTTCACAATTATCCATATACAGTCTATATTTCTCTGAATAACTTGAAGAATTAATTCGTTGCTCCGATGAGGTTCATCTCTGACTCATTATAAAAGCATAGTGGTAGCTTTTTCACAATTGTTTTCAACTTATAAGGCGCAATACAGTTCACAATTATCCATATACAGTCTATATTTCTCTGAATAACTTGAAGAATTAATTCGTTGCTCCGATGAGGTTCATCTCTGACTCATTATAAAAGCATAGTGGTAGCTTTTTCACAATTGTTTTCAACTTATAAGGCGCAATACAGTTCACAATTATCCATATACAGTCTATATTTCTCTGAATAACTTGAAGAATTAATTCGTTGCTCCGATGAGGTTCATCTCTGACTCATTATAAAAGCATAGTGGTAGCTTTTTCACAATTGTTTTCAACTTATAAGGCGCAATACAGTTCACAATTATCCATATACAGTCTATATTTCTCTGAATAACTTGAAGAATTAATTCGTTGCTCCGATGAGGTTCATCTCTGACTCATTATAAAAGCATAGTGGTAGCTTTTTCACAATTGTTTTCAACTTATAAGGCGCAATACAGTTCACAATTATCCATACACAGTTTATATTTCTCTAAATAACTTGAAGAATTAATTCGTTGCTCCGGTGAGGTTCATTCCTGACTCATTCTAAAAGCATAGTGATAGCTTTTTCACAATTGTTTTTAACTTATAAGGCGTAATACAGTTCACAATTATTCAAATACAGTCTATATTTTTCTAAATAACTTGAAGGATTAATTCGCTGCTCCGGTGGGACTCATTTCTGACTCATTCTAAAAGCATAGTGCTGGCTTTTTCACAATTGTTTTCAACTTATAAGGCGTAATACAGTTCAAAATTATCCATATACAGTCTACATTTTTTTAAACAACTTGAAGGATTAATTTTTCTCTCGGGCAAAGCTCATTTCTAACTCGTTCGAAAAACATAGCGCAGTCCTTTAATTATTGTTAAAACAGCTACAAATTTAACTGTTTCCTTATTGTAGACATTTATTTTCCATCATTTGCTTCTTAGATTAGAAATTACTTTCACTTTCACGGAACAGTTGTCAAAATAGGATTTCGAAGTCTTGTCTTAATTAAACCTATTAATACGCGTGTTTTGGTAAAGCAACGTGAAGTAAACGGTTTGAAATTGTTTTTGAAATGATCTTTTCCCGGAAGTTTCAAGACCTGTCAATGTCCAAGTCAGCCGGATATGTGTAGCTACAAAAACGAGAATGTACATAATAAGTGTTTATCGCTAAGCATTCCCGTCTACTTTACACAGCAGGAAGTACCACACACGTTATAATTGTATTTCGTTTATGTCGCTCCTGTGTATTAGTACCTACTGTATAAATAACACTGCTCTGGTTTACAGATTTGAAAAGAAGTTTATGAGAATTGAACTAGATCATCCCCTTAAATTAGCTTTTGCCTATATAATAATTATATTAATTACAAAAACAGGGAGAAACAGTTTGACGTAGACGAAGTGGCTAGTAAAAATTGATGAAAACGTTAGTCAGTGGTGAGAAGAACATAATGTCTCGGGGGGCTATTCTTTCTGAGAATTTCCCACAAAAATAATAACAATAACTAGTTTTAAAATAAATTTAAACATATTCTTGTTTTTATTGAGATTTACAATTAATTAACAAAGGTAATTTTTCAAAGAAAAGGACATGCAAATTATTTGTATTACAAAAAACACTTCTTACCACTCTTTCCAACCCCTGGTGCTCCTACAACAGCCACCTTGACTTCAGAAAGCGAAGATTTCTTTCTCCGGATCCCCTTAGTATTCATCATTCACCGCATGCTTTTCCTCACGACATACACACGTGTACTAAAAACACGCCTGAGAAAAAAAAAAAAAACAGTCTACCAGGAGGAAGTAAACTCCTCTATTTTGCAACTTAAATCAAAATATGAGCGCGACTCCCGTTACGTCTGGACGTGAAGTATCACGCCGTTGATGCTAAAACACGTATGCGTCCCGATCTTTTCTAAATATATCCAGGGAGTCCGTAAGAATTCACAGCAATTTGTGCCCGAAGCCGTTCGAATGGACGGGATGTTGCTTAAGTACGCTCGACGCCTTATTGTAAGGCGAGTCCCGACTACGCGAAGTGCTTGCAACAACTTCTAAACCACGATGACATATTTTTTGTCATCAATTCTGTGGAGAACGTTCTTATATTAAAAAAGGTCAACAAGAAAGCTGCCAACTGTAACTGTAATTGTAATTTCACAAGTTTATTCTTATTCTATTTAAGTCTGTAGTGCCAGTTTGGTCCAAATTTTAGAATAAAGTGAATGTAATCCAACAGTTAATCTTTACAAAAGTTTTGATCCCATTGCATGCTCACTACATGAATTATTCATAATTATTAGATATAGATGAAGCGAATTACAAGTTTATATCTTAGAGATAGAGGAATAAGTGCAGACAGCGCAGTGAACGGCATCTATCGAAAATTGCAGTTTATACATAAGTACAGTAAAAGTTCCTTATTCACGGTTTCCTTATTCGCGTTTTCGTTATTCGCGGGTGAAAAAATTGCAACCTAGTTCCTGTATTCGTGACTAAAAATTTCATTATTCGCGGTTGCAATCAGTAAACAGAAAAGGATTCGGTGTCATTTATTAAGGGTATTGACCGGAATAGACCGCTCGTGCCTAGTGTGAATTTTTCCGAAAACATGGGTTTCTATTCCAAACATAGTGATTTAATGCTGCGAGATAAATATCTAATTTTTTGTATGGTAAGACAAAGGTTAACACTAACTCCGCACGTTTTTAATTTTCAATAATATGGTCATTAAAAGCTTTTACAAGTGCTTAAAGTTGGTGCTTCTTGAAGGACACGTATTTTCAATAGAAATTAAAAAATTAAAACATGGCCTTCGACAAGCAAGCATCTGTTCCAAATATTAAACTCATGATATCTAGAACCGATAAGCATGTTTTTACTTTACGACGTATGTACTACTGAATCCCCTTAATGTATCGGCATCTTTTGACTACGTACTTTTGGTACGTACCGAGGCAGCTTATATAAAAGATGTAACCGAGTGGACTAATTTCAAAATTCAAAACAAGAAAAAATCACTAAATTTTTTAAACCCTTGCCTAAAGGTGGTCATAACGATTAGTTTTAATTGCGAATTTCTCAATATATTGATGATACATATTGGTTTTATTTCGGAACCTTAGAACGTATCCCCTAATGATTCCATACTAATTACCATTCCATATCCACGGTTTCTGTATTCGCACCATATTTATGGAACGTATACCCCGCGAATAAAGAGATTTTACTGTAGGTATAAAATTTTCGACGCCGCGATTTCGGTCCTGTTCGTTCTCATTTGCACGCCGTAGAGCAGAGTTCGTCCTCTATTTAACTTAACCTAACCTAACCCGTCTTTTGACCTGCCCCTGATGCGCTCCGCTTTCCGATAACACGCGTCAGTAGTCGACACGCATCCTTACATGTATATAAAATATATATATCTAAACGTTTCCATCTCATTTGATGGCAAGATTAAATCCTGTCAAGTAATTTGCCTTCAATTAGAAGCTTTTTGAAAAATTGAAAATTCAAGGGCTCATGTTTATTTGCACGGTCTATGAGCAGGTTAGTTTTCGCGCCAGTCACAAAATTTTGAAGGTAGAGCTGACGTCAAAAATTTTCTGCCACAAATACCGATGTCATGTTTTTATTTCTAGATGTCGTCTACAACACGTACGATGTCCAATTTTTCACAAAATGCGTAAAGATATATTAGTAAATATTTATACGTCCGTGTAAAGTCGTATAATTTTACGTAACTTTATGTACTACACATTTGTTATTATACCTCGAATAAATAATTCGAAACATGAAAATATAGAAACAATTCTTCCCTAGACAAAAATTTTCAGTCTCTCTCCAGTCTTTCAAAGTCTTTCAGCGTCTCTGAGAGCGTCTCTCACAGTCTTTCACGGTCTCTCAGTTATTGCTTAGGCGTTTTTATGGATCTCTCACAGTCTCTGTATGAGAGACTGGAACGATAACTTTGTTAATTCAGAGATTCGAGTCTCTCACAGAGAGACTGAATGAATAAAATTGAAAAATTGAGAGACTCGAGTCTCTCGTAGAAAGACCGGGATCTCTGAAATATGTTGAACTTAGAAAATTTTAACCATGTCTATCGAGACACCAATTATTGAGAGATTCGTTCAGAGATTCGAGTCTCTCGTTCAGAGACTGGATACGAAATGAGGATCTCTCTATGAGTGACTCCAATCTCTCGTTCAGAGAGGCTAAACAATTTTTTTGACAGTCTCTCATGGACAGTCTCTCTCAGCGACACCAGAGAGACTCGATGAGAGACGGAGACTCGAGTCTCGCTTTCAGAGACTCCTAGAGACTGAACATTTTTATTTCGGGTTATCATCAATATCCTATTGTGGATATTAGTAGAGCCCACCGGTTTTTGTTTTTAATTAAGAAATTGAATAATGTGAACAAGTGTCATTATTATTAAACAAGGAACATCGCAAATCACTTCATTAATTTTTCTATATATTTATTTATTATTANTTTTATTGACAACACGGTAGGACTCGTATTAAAACGTTCTTTAGTCCTTTTTCCGAATGAGCTTCCTGTTTGCTCAACATAGACTTTTTGTAATCCTTTAACATTATCCTTTTGACAATGTTAGTGTGAATTTCTTCAAAAATTTCGTTTTCCTTTACATGACGTAACCAAGCAAATGGTAGTAACAATCACACGTCAAACTAAAATCAATTAATTCAAAATTTTAGTAAGGTGTAAGCCTGCATGAATGTCAATAAAAAATGCGCCGGGAAAAGAAGAGGGTGAATTTGGTGACCTGTGCGTAAAAACTATAAATAATGTGGTCGTCGCGATAATATCAACCTTTCGTAATGATTTAAATGAGCAAGGTAAACAGCAGATAAGTGGCGACACGAAGTTAACAGACAACAGTTTGAAGGAACTGTCTCAACAAATAACAGACCTGAGTCGAAAGTACTTAAAGAACATCCCTGCAACGCCAGAAAACGCCAACAAAATTCAAAAGTCACCATCAACTTCTATTTCTAGAGATCAATCGAAAAAATTTTTTGACAGGCGTCGGTCAACAAGTAAAAGTGACGCCAATCAACAATCAAAGAAGAATAATAACAAAATGAGCACCTCACAGAACGAAAAACTATCAATAACATCGAAATCGCCATCTCCTAATGAGAAAGTCACCAAAAGCACAGATCCTCGAAAGGAGCTTAAGTCTGCTTCACTCACGTTATCCGAAGGACCAGTGTTAACAATCGTCAAACCAGACGATTGTATAATACCTCCAGTTATAAAGGAATACCCTGAAGAAAAAGACTCGCCATGTTCTAATTTCTTAAATAACAAGAAGGACAACGTATGTTCTATACTGTTGCAAACGGCAGATTTTTGTAGAAGTGGACAAACCCAAACGTGTGACACAAAAGCCGAGTGTTCGATAAAATCAATTCAGGCCCAAGTAGAAACCACCGACAGTGCACAAGAGACAGAAGGTAGTACCTTCAAAGGCTCTAATGCCACCCAAACCGCTCAAGCGACGGAAGACGACAAAGTCGAATGTGGAAGTCAAGACAACGATGCAGTCGCTTCATTATGTTTAAAGGAATTGCTCGAAGTTGATATCCAAACAGACGAAGACGATGAACAGGCTGACTATTTTCCGTGTAACGAGAAAGAAAATATTTGTGAATGTTCTGGTAATGCTTTGCAAGGTGTAGACAGTTGTGGGTGCATGTCGGGATATAACAGGGAATATTTTGCCATAGCAAACAGGCTCGATCAAACGGAGAAAAGGTTGCAAGAAATGTGGACCAAAATGTTCGCAATAACTCGTACTCTAAAGGACCACATTGTACACTGTGCTGATGTGGACAATATTATTGATGTTAAGAAACCTGACAGTAGTTAATACATAAGCTTAAATTAAATAAATTTCCTGTTTTATACTTAATGATAATTATTTACCTTTATTTGATTAATTTGTATTTTTGATGCATCACTTAGCCTCTTTGTCTTTTTTCAATTGGTAGAATTCCGTGAAGAAGTCTATTTATATCACCTGCCTTTAGATGTGGCTAATTTTAGATAACTAGGAAGTCCGATAAGTCAGGACGAAAGGAATGATAAGGATATAAAGCAGAGGATAGGGTAGGGTCGAGTCGTCTTCAATAAAAAGAACGTTGGGATAGGGATACCGTGAATAGAGGTTAGAAATAAAAGAGGTATTAGAAAGAAAAGAGGAACAAAGGACTCTATGGAAGTCAATAAGAAATAGGCGACATAGATTAGATTACTGTTCGCAAATAGTTAAGGATGTGGGTTGTTCTAGTTTTGGGGAAATGCGAAGATAGGAAGGAAGGGTAGGAAAGAGTGGAGGTGTGTGTCCAACCAGTCTTGGGACTGACGACCTATTCTTTCCAATACCTCTTCATTTCTAACCTTTTCTACCCAACGTTATCCTTATCATCCGCCTATAACACCACATTTCGCACGCTTCTAACCTTTTATTTTCCGCCGCGCCCACTGTCCATGTTTCGCACCCGTACAACGCCGTGCTCCAAACATACACCTTTAACAACCTTTTTCGAATTTCTAAATTAACCGTTCGTGAGCATAGAAGTGACTTCTTTTTATTAAAGGCGACACGACCCTGCGCTATCCTCTGCTTTATATCCCTACTACTCCTTCCATCCTCACTTATCTGACTTCCTAGGTATCTAAAATCAGCCACTTCTTCTAATTTTTCGTCTCCTATCTTTATATTCGTTCTTTCTCTACTTTTTCTTCCCTTGCATATGAGTATTTTAGTTTTACTTTTATTTATTTTCATACAGTACTGATCTGTCAGTACCGCTTCCATTTTATTTAAAGCTATCTCTAGGTCCTCCTTGCTAGATGCTAATACTGCTATATCATCTGCGAATCTAAGCATACTAATCTTT